AAGGATATAATACTTAAAAAGGTCTCAAGGGAAAAACAGGCTAAAAAAAAAAAGAGAAAAACTAGGCCTTAGGTTAGCTGACAGTCAGTGTTGCCAGATAAGGCAGTTTTCATTTTGATTTTAAAAATAATAATTGCTTTGGGTGTGTGCAGATAATTTGGGCTGGTTTGGAGTCAGATCGGCGGTGGATCTGGCGCTGATGATCAATGCGTTCTGTTTGGAAGATGAATCTTTTAAAGATGCTAGTGGAAACCACTACTTTCAGGATTCAGCACTTGGCACAATTAAACTCTTCACCCTCCTTATTTCAAATGCGCCAATTGAAAGAGCTTTTTCACAAGTTGCTCGGCATAAAGACATGTCCAGAAATCGCATTGGGCTGCTGATCCTATCGACTTTGATGGAAGTGCGAACTAGGTGGGCGGATCGATCCTAGGATCGATACTATCGATACCAACGCTGGTATTGATATTGAACAATAGTTGTTTAGCAAGTTTGATCCTTTTTATTCTCTCCCGCACGCACTAGCTGCAGCAGATTCACCAGTCTCCCCTCTGTGTTACAGCACTTTGCTGCTCCCCCACTCACCTCTCGTCACCGGCTCAGCATGGCCCTGCCTGGCCCCGCCCACTCAGCTCTCTCTCCACTCCACACACAAACAAACGCTCTAGTAGTCCTCACACGCCGGAGCAGAAAAAAGATGAAGAAGAGGGAACGAAGGGCCGTTTGGCTATATTTTAATACTGTAATAAGAAACAACAGCTGTATGGTTTATAATAAGTTGGTTAAATGCCGTAGAAACATAAGTTTATATAAGCACATGAAAAACTATGAGCAAGAAATCGTCGAGTTACAGAAGCGGAGAAATGGGGTGAAACTTCGTTCATTGCCCTGACAGACCCTTGACCCACAGACAGACGTAACTGACCGGCCTCCAGAGAATATCCAGGTAGATAAGAGTGATTACCTTCACATTAACTTTCAAAGTAGATATTATATATCATATATTACTAGAACCCACTCAGAAAGTGTAATTAAGACCTTGAAGGAACCTAGTACATTTATCCAATTAAAAGATGTTATCTGAGAGGGCTAACATTAACTAATCCTTTATTTATCCCACAATTTGGAAATTTATAGAATTAAAGCAACAGGCAAGGGCACACAATACAAACAAAATGACATAATGATTGAAAGATATAATATAAGAGGTGTATTAGGAAAAACCACTATGAACAGAACATTATTATTATTATTATTTAAATGTAACAATTAGAAAAAAATCACAGAAACACTGAAAGGTCAACAGTTCCATGATCCATCAAGCTTAAATGATAAAATGTATCGGTATAATATTGATATCGGCAACACTGACCCTGTATTCATTTAGTATCGTATTGATTGAAAATTCCCGGTATCGCCTACCTCTAGAGCGAACTGGACTAACACGGATGGATAAACATCAGCAACATTCCATCCTTCCTGACAGTTATTGTTGAGATTTCATTCAACCAGCACTGATCACAAATCACAATGGATTAAATTATAGTTTACTGGAGTAAGAATTCAACGTTCAGATGTTCAATGTTCCAGCCAACAATCTAATCAGCATTAAAGATTTGAATTCATAATCAATCATAATAAAAGTAATTATTTCAGTAATGTAAAAATAAACTTAGCACATTTGTGTGTGTGCACTGATTGTAGTTTGTCTTCTAAATGTAAAAAGAGGATTCTACATGTTATGAATCCATCTGCAAACATGTGAGTACCGGTATGTGATGTCTCACATGACACTCACTGGATCTGACATCGCTGTGGTGGAGTTATTTATGGAGAACAACTCTGGGCAGATTTTGTTGGATTGTAGCGTTTTGACATGTAGTGTTGAATTAAGTTGAGCTGAATTGTGTTCATGTTCACACAGTAAATATAACAACGTATTATTGGGCAGGTTGTTGTGCAATGTGGTGGTTTTTAACGGATGTTTGGGCTGGAAAACCTCAACTCTATTTGGCAACACTGCTGACAGGCAGGATGAGGATGTGGATTTAAAAAGCCCACCAGTACTCTAGAGCTGTGCACATTCACACACTTCTTCTGTCATTTCTTATTAAAAGAAGACTAATTAAAACATGGGTATATATTGACACCTGTCCCCTGTCCATGCCTTCTACAGGGCTGTCAACTCTCACCCACTGGGAGTGAGACTCACCCATCTCAGTGTCTTCACACACTTTCACTCCATATTCCCAATTTCTCACACTAAAAAGGAATACATCCAATGGTTTGTGTTCTCTTTACCTGGTGTTTTTTTTAGTCCCAGTTTTAGTCCATATTTTGCTCACAAGTTGAATAATTATTGCTCAGTCTAGTTTAATAATCTCCTGTTGGCATTTAGGAGTAATTAAACTAACACTAATATTTTAATTTATTTATTATTCAAAAGATCAGCCACCAAAGAAAAGACCAACCACATCCAGAGAGGATTATGCAGAACAACTCAGTTATCCTGGATTCATAGAGGAGAAACCACAGGGATGTTCTTCTTTTATTATTATTTATCTTATTCATTTATCTTTATTTTGGTCCATTGAATATGTTTAAAAACTTAATTTCCATCACACCTTCCAGATGAAACATCCAGAGAAGTGCTGTCTCCTGTCATGGGGAGTTTTTATAAAATCTACAGCCTCCTAGAAGGTCTGAATTGTTTTGCAATTGTATGAAAAACTAATAACATAATGAATGAAGCTTTTTAATCCTTAGCGTACTACCATATATTAATACACAGTGTAGTTTACATTTGTTTCGATTGCACTGGTTCCTGTATCAGTGCCAGTGATCCAGTAGCTTATTAGTAGCTAGTTGTTTAATTTACTTGAACTATAGAGAATAATTAATGAATAAATTTGTGAAATTCTTAGTTTAAAGTATATTTATTATGCATGTATTTTAGTAGGGCACTATCTGCTTTACTCCAATTTTTTACACACATTTTTTAACACATGGAGCTTCCTTCTGTACCATCATTGGAAAGTAAATATATTAAGATGAAAAACTCTAGAGCACCGCAGGTCTTTTTCATCCTTGACAATTTACGACGCCACATTTGCTCAGTTCAAATAATTTGTTTTTTTTTTGTGTTTTTACATATTTCTTCTACTTATATATCTTATTGTAAATAAGAAAAGGTGGTCCACATCTTTATTTCAAATGTGAGCACATTGTCATTACAGCATACATGCTGTTTGCTTACAGGTACATCAGCCATTATGTCCTTGTCATGAAGAGCACAAAGAACCATTTAAAAGATCCCAATACAATCCTAATTGTTCTTAATGTCCTCCTCTATTTATTGTGCTATTTGCCTCCAAATATTGTTCCAATCTGTGCAGTATTTTATTTTATATATAGTATTTATTTACATGTGAAATAACAGAGAAAGAGCAATATCCTCATTATTATCTTTTTGTTTTACTTTCCCTGCTAAAGTTGGAGGGTTACCGGATTATTTTGTCCAACAGAGCAACAAGTGGATAGGAACAATGCAATTAGAAAACAAGTGTTCATTAAAATATGGGTATATTAGTTGAAGCTGTGAAGATTTATACTGTAGCAAGTCTAAACAACATCACATTGGTTCCTTCTCTTAAAGCTGTAATGCTCTAAACAGCTGATAATATTGGTTATATGTGTAAAAACAGGATGAATGTGTTTTCTTTAATGTAAGCTCAGATGAGCAGCTAACTAACATACATATCAGACTTCTGCATATCACTTTATTCCCCACTTTCACTTCCTAAAGGAACAGTTTAATTTTCAATGTTGAACATATTTTGCAATACTGCCAGCTAGTGGATTACAGCTATTATATCATCTGTTAATAGGCTTTCTTCCTGTCTCGTTTCAGTCTTCAGCCCCCCAGGCTTGATTGTGGAAGGCACGACTGTCACGACTGGCCCATCACCACCACTCCATTTTCCATTTCTAAAACATACAAGCACAAAACCAGGATGTAAGATGGAAACATGCACATTTTCTAAACAAAACTGCAAACTTAGATAATTAAAGTTCCATTACAGACTCTTTTTTTAACTTATCAGGGAAACTTCTAGTTAAATGTAGGTGAAAAGTAATCATTCTGGACATAAGAAGTACATAAACAACAATAACGAATAGCCTTAAAAGTTAAATTATTTTTCTGTCCCATTTCACTGACATTTGTATATTCTAAAAGGATTTTGCACAAAGCTCTATATCAGTGCATTGTAGCATGGAGGCGCTCGGCCTGTGGCTTGACAGATCTACTGGAAGCCCAGGTTCCTTTAAATACAGCCTTAAGGAGGGACTGAACTGTTAACAGGTTTAATGTCGCCTTTCTGCTTGTGCAGATGGCTGGAATTGAACTGGGAGATGATTTGAGGCACTTTATTTGGCAATACACAACATTTCTATTCCATTTTGACCTAGAATATTAGTAATATTCTGCATTTATATTAGCTGGGAGGCCCACTTCATGGGAGAATTAATACGTATAATACAGATTCTATGGGTGTCATCTCTCCCATATAATGATGCTCGTTTCCATTGATGTAGCCAGTGCTTATTTGTTAATTATGTACATCGTCTTTTTTAAGGAGCATTGAATAAAGAACACAAAATGAAGAGTGTCTAGACTTTAGTTTCTTTTTTTCTCAACATATTTTTTTTTTTTTTTTTTTTGTATTTATAGATTTTATTCAAGCAGAGTTCTTCACTGAAACTATAATATCAGAATGTTAGTTTTGATACTATTCTAAAATATTTTTTATGAATAAATTAATAAATCTATCCTTTGGTTTAGTTGGGTTCTATCTGTTTTTGTTATTTCTATTCCTTTTTCACATTTTATAGTCAGCGTTGTCTGCTTTCCTTTTTGTTAAACTAGATTGTAGGACCCTGCATGTGCTTCAGAATCAAGTGGACAATTAGCAGCTCCTGTTTCTTACTCTGTCTCATCAGTGGCGAGGGCTCCTATCTTCCAGAGGGATGTCTGTATCAGGCACATCCTCTCCCAGAGCAGCAGGTGGCGCCGCCTCGTTGCTTGATGATGAAGTGTGGCAGTTGTGGCAAGGTTCTTTTTCAGCCTTTAGAACTGCAGGTAATGAAGCTTGTTGTTCTGTAGCTGAGAGAGCCTCTAGGTTTGCTTCAGTGGAGGCTGCAGCCAGCTGAGTCGTCTCACCGACTGTCCCAGGTGTGATCTGCTCAGACTGTGTCTCCTCCTCCTCTGGTGTTGCTCCTGCATTGATAATAACCTCCTCAATATGTGAAGATTCATCACAAGAGGAAAGATCTTCCTCTGATGGGGAAAGTGTTTCATTAGGAGAAGAATCAGGCATCATAAAGATGCCTTCAGCCTCAGGGATTTCCTCAGGAAGTGAAGATTCTCTTTCTTCCTCTTCCTCTGCAGATAATTCTTCAATGGTTAGACCATGTGTCACCTCTTCAACATCAGCCCACTTCTCTTCCTCACGAACAACAGCTGCCTCTCCAGATGTTTCCGTCGTGGCCACTTCTGAGATTGCCTCCAGAGCTTCTGGTTCAAGAACCTCCATGAAGGAGTTTGGCTGATTTCCATCAGTTTCCATTTGGTGCAGGGCGTTCATCAAGCTGTCGTCACCCACAAAGGCGTTAATGATCTCCAGGGTGGAGGTAGCCAACGCCTTCACAGCTGTTTGCAGATTATGGGACAGCAGGAACTAATCAGGATTTACTACAGAAACACCAGCTTTAAAACTACCAATGTCATATTCTATGACAACCACTTTATGTTTCTGTCAAGTGAAACATGACTGTACCATTTAAGATCTGGGCTTGAATAGATGGTCTATTGAAAGCTACCTGCCCGACTCATGCTCCTTGTGACAAGTTACAGTCTTAATATTGGCAGTTGCCCAGGATGCTTTCAGAAATGGGGTGGCAGAAGCCCTTTAAAAAAATCCAACCTTTTTGCTCCAGTAGCAGCCAGAACACATTTTCCTTGCTTTATGCTTGTGCAGGAAAATATAGCTGGTTCTGGGTGACACCAGAATTATCCCATGACTTTTTTTTTGTCTGGGAGCATGGGTGCTACCTTTAGCTACACCCAACTATGAATTTTGTAGGGACTGCTTAAAGTTTCATGGCATTTTAACACAGGAGGGCTGATGGAGTCCTTGCTGGGGAAAGTGAAACATGTTTAGAACACTTTTGGGCTCACTTGTAAAATGTTCTACACAATAATTACTTCATAATTAACTGATCAGAATTAGATCAGAAATTTACTTCTGCATTTAACCCATCCCTTTGGGGAGCAGTGGGCTTCCACCTTGGGGCGCAATCGAGGGTTAAGGGTCTTGCTCAGGGACCCAGAGTGGCAGTCCGTGGGAGTGGGGCTTGAACTCAGAACCTCAGGATTCCAAGCTCTATGCTCTATACTAGGCCGTCCCTACCCGTTCTTTATGGGTAGCCTGGTAATTTACCTCCACACGAGGTTTGAACATACCGGTCGCTGAGCAGGAGCATGAATCTGGCCCTTATGGGGAAATCTGCATTTCTACAACTTTCTGCCATCATCTATGGAACACAAGTGTACAATATTAAGCGTATCTGATCTGAATCTGTTGTAAATCATCTGTTTTTTTAATGAATATCCAATGCGTTTTCAATAAGAGATGATAAAATGTCCATATAATAACAAAAGCATTGGTTTAAGGGATGCTCAATTTGAAAACCCTTCAATCCTCATTATCCAGTGATATTTGAATCTTTATTGGTTTGATTAAACATCTTTTAATGCCCAAACAGATAAGTAAATTTCGGAGAGGATGAAAGTTTCACAGTAAAGAGAAAAATGGGCTTTGATGCAATCAAAAAAATAGCTTAGATATTAGATATGAAATCTATGATGACATAGATCAGGTTCATAAGAGACACTTTTTTTTTTTATTATTAGATCCAGAGAAGTGCCAATAGTGAAAACATAAGCATTTGATTTTGCATGGGAAAAACTTTTTTTTCATTTGTTGCTGAGGGAAAAAAAGATCAAACTGAGACCGTAAAGGAAGATCAAGCAGGTGTTTTTCTTTTTTTGGTCAAACTTCATGAAAGGTCTCTTCTATTGCAACGTTTTTTCAGCTGAAGATCTTTCCAGCAATTGAACCAACATTTAGATTCATGCCAGCTGTTCTAAAAAAAGGATGAAACCAGATGGTTTTGAATTTTAGGAATGTAAGGAAGATAAATACAAAAAAAGCACTCAAATAAAAAGCAAAACAGGACTGATGAACCTCCTGTGTGTACAGAACATATCTAGCATTATCATACATAAATGAACTTGAGTATGGTCCTTTTACTTTCTGTTAGAGAATCAGGTTCATGAGTCCCTGAGCTTGGGGAATCAGGGATATGTCTCATCTAACTCCTAAAGAGCAGCTTTCTAGATGAGCCCTGCAGCCCTTCCGCCTTCATGCAGTCATCTCTGCAGCATGGCTGGCTTCAGGCTCAGGGGCTTCAGAGGGAATCTCTGCATCAGCAGGGGGAGCAGCTGAGGTTTCATCTACTGCTGCCATACCGGCGCTCTCTGCTTCTGCATCCTCAGCAGGTGGCACGGCTGCAACTTCAGGGGCAGCTTCAGGAGCTGTCTCTTCCTCTGCAGCTGGATCAGCTTCTTCTGCATCTGCCGGCTCAGCCTCTGTAACAGCTACTTCAGACATCTCTGCCGCTGCTGGTTCTTCTGAGGCGGCCTCAGCTGTCAGTTCAGCATCAGTTACAGCTACCTCAGAGGTCTCTGCAGCTACTGGATCTTCTGAGATGGCCTCAGCTGTCGGTTCAGCCTCTGGTTCTGGGGAAGTGGCGACAGATTGGGCTGTAATCTCTGCTCCTGAAGCAGGTTCCTCCTTTGCTGTGCTGGGGTCAACTGCAGAAGATGCAGTTTCTGATGTAACTTCAGCTGCAGATAAAGAGGTTCAGAAAACATTTCAGCTGTTTTATGTGTGGAATACATTTAAAAAAACATTGTAGTGAAATTTATCCTTAAAAACCTAAAACATTTATTTCAACAGAGGCTGCTAAATCTGACCTCAGAAAAATTATTTTATCACACTGAGTATTGCTTCACATCATGGTCATTTTCTTGTGCTGCTGTATTGGAACCTTTAAAACAATTTTACAAAATAGCAAAAGCATTTGATAGGAGGCCACTGTCATCACATCTGTCTAATTTTAGACAACTTTAAGTTTTGATATTTCCAATAATTTAAAAATGATCGCCTTATTTATAACTTATTTATCTTTTATGGTTAAGCCCCCAGCTGGAGAGCATTTTATTGCCTAGAGCATTTTATTAAAAGTTTTACATCGTACTAGGTGTGAGGTTTATGATAGTAAGTGTTTGTTTCATGTATTGCAGGATGAAAGTGCTGGTGCCCCGTTAGCACTAGAGAGAGCTCCACCTGTGTCTCCTTTTGAGGCTTAAAGTACGGTTCAGTAATGTGATCGCTAAATGTCAGATTACTGAGAGAAAATTTTGTTGTTTTTTTTGTCAAATTTTTTTTTAATAGCATTTTGATCTTTCCTTATTTTTATGTATGAAACTGTATCGGCGTTTGTGTCTTGGGTGTTTTATGGAACAATGAATTAGCATTCGCATTTTGCTAAATCCTGAATATTTATGACAAAATAGTACCGTAAGTTCATTAATATGCAACTTTTCCATCTTAATGAAAATCTGTAAATTAAGATAAAAAAAATTCCCTTAAATAAAAACAAATTAAATGTACTGTTAAAAAAATATATATTGTTAACTTGAGGAGAGAAAAAAGGCCCACAGCAGCATAGATCATGAACTACACCATACCTAACAGTGGCCATATGATCATTCTAAGCTTTGTGTTAAGTTGCGAGCTTCGGTCATATGTCAAAGCTTAACCAGCGGTACCATAAATATAGAGATCAGAGGGCAACAGATGGCAGAATCTATGGAAATAGATACCAATGAGATAAAGAAGAGACTGGTGAGGTTTACTTGAACTAATTTAGCTGTTATGTTTGTTATCAGATTCCTATTAGGCCTACAGGTCTGTCTTCCCTCTGTTAGTAGAACAAACTAAAGTATTCAGTTAATACGGCGGCGTTAATTTAGTATATGGCTAAACCCCTGACAAATCAGAATATATTTAAAGACAATTTTTTTTTTCACATAAACCATTTCAGATTGATCCTCGTTACATGGCACTTTCCCATATATATTTCTGTGACTTTATGACTCAGGTATTTAACTGGTTTCTACTAAAGTAGTTAGAAGGTTGGTGGTTCAGTCTCAAGCTCAGATATCTTTCTCCATGTTTCCATTTCCAATAGTCTTCCCCTCAAATGTTAGACAATTTTATGTAATTCATTCAAATCTAATCTAATTCTAGTCTATCATAAAACTAGTTTTAAAGGAGCATAGGGTAAGATCTAGCGCAAATTGAAACAAGAATAACAGAAGGGGAAAAAAGCCCCTGAGACTGAACAGCTCCTTAGTTTAGAGGTGCCATCTGAAGTCAGAAAGTTATTTTGAGTGGAGCATCTAACCTTTTTAGCAACAGGAAGGCATCTTTGAGGTGCACTTACTGCCGGATTGCCACACTCACAAACCATTTCCCCCTGAGCTTAACTAAACACCTCTCTCATGAACTGACTAGTGGAGCTTTTAGAGGCAACTGTAGTAAATAGAGGAAATCTCATTTTACATGTTGCCTAATTGTAGCAAAGTGAAAAAAAATTGCCTTTCAAAATTGCTCATTGCTTTGTTAAAGGTGGAACGGTGAGTTGCTTGGTTCTGACCTGCATTAAGGAGCCATGTTACAATACCTTTTAAATGTCTTACATTAAAGGTATAGTGGAGGTTATTCGGGTGGATCATTAAAATAATTTGTCCTATAATAAAGCCGTCCTGCGTGTTCGTCCCATTTTCACTTACCCGTGGTGAGTCTGACATAGTAGAAAAATGTGAAATCTTCTTTTGCAAAGTAAGCTTGTATGAGCGATACAAACAGCAACTTTTAAACAGAGCGTGCATAAAGAGAAATGGGCTCGTGCACGCTCACATACACGATTAATAGGCGTTCCCTGTCGAGAGTGGGTACAGGGTTGTGCATGTGCATTATTTTTTTTTTCAAGCAGAGAGGTCGGGTCTTTTTAAAAATTGGCAAAACTCCTCCACTATAAATTTTAATAAATGGGTCCTTTTTTAGGACACTATTTTTACTTTTTATTAACTAGATTATATTGGGCGTTTTTCTCCATTTGATGTCTGTCTTCTCACGTATTATCAAAAGGGGTAAAATGTTCCAGATCAGCACCCATCCAAATTAGTCCAGTGAATATGTTCCGCATCTAAACCCGCAGCATTCAGATTTCACAGCAGTTAGCAGCTCAGGGCACAGAGCCACAGTTTCTGCACGCTGAGCAGACAAATAGCTTGCAGACATAGATCCAAACAGACAGGCGAGATGAAGCTATTGAGCGGAGTCATTCTACCATGCGTGGATCTGGGTGGAGCAGTCAGAAGCTTATAGAAAAAAAGAAAAAAAAAAAAGAATTCAGGTTCGCTGCACTCATTTTCAGTTTGTTTAAGCATTTCAAGGTTTACAGTCACCTTACAACTAACACGCAAACACGTTTTCATACTACATTAAGGGCTTTGAGGGATACTTTCCATGAAGCATCTGAACAGCAGTAACACAGATGGCCACACATGGTAGAGGTAAAACTCTTTACAGGATAATGCTCAGACTTTATTGGTCAGGTTTCAGCGTAAAGGACTTTTTTGTATTCAAGTTAACAGTAAAAGTGCACTTTTTTTTTAGCCTGCTGCCCTGTTTAGTATGCACTATTCGTACACCAACATAGTATTTTGCACCCAAAGAGAAACCCATTTTGTAGTAAACCGTTGCATATCAGTTTATGTCTCATGGTTGTTAAAAAAAGATCAAGCATTAATGCAATTAGTTACCATAGAAATAAACGTATAAATGAATGTGTTCTGTTATTTACTGGACATTTATGCACTAATGTTTTCCTCGATTCAAGCTCTGACATCGGTTTGAAACAGTCAATCATGTTAAATGACAGAATAAGACCTCTGATAGAATTGGAGCAACTTTTATTTGAACTTTTACTATCAAAACTTTAGTCACCTTATTACATTTATCTATAGTAAATAGTGATTATGATTTAGCCTGGGCAGCCAGACTGGCTTATGCCGTTTACACAACATATGAGTCCAGAAGAGGCACTGCATGATTTTAAAACCCATTTGGCAGAAACTGAATAGAAACGATCATAACTGTGGATTTGACACAAAAAAGCTTTATTTTAAAGAAAAGCTCTTACAGCAGCCAGCTGATGAAATTTGAACACTGACCAGGCTATATAATGACCACTGAAGGTTACTTTATCATATAGGATACATAAAAACAGCTCTCCTCATCCTGGGGCTTTAAGGTGGTTAAGCTGGAATGTTTTAACAAATAAAATGACCCAGGATGATATATTAATAAAGTGTGTTTCTGCATTGACTTCTACATAATTAATCTCACAAACTAAAGTTCAATGCATGCTGCACCCTTCTTACTATAACGAACATCATTTACTGGGATTTACCTTTTGGTGTCATTTTGGTGGATTCAGCTAACAGGTCCATCAAACATGTTTGGAGCTTCATATCTAAAATGTTAGCTTTGTATTGTTTTAAGGCTTCATTTCAGACCTCAACTCTGAAACAAGCGCCATGTTACACCTCAAATTTGTATTCATTTTACTTCCTTTTTTTAAATCACTCTAAATTGAAGTTTTTTGTTCTGATTATTAATATCCAGTTTAAAAATCATTTTTACGCCTTCAAATATGGACCTTAGGATCAGAATCAGAATTACTTTATTAATCCCTTTCAGGAAATTATTTTCTTGCAGTGCAACCATTAACATAAGAGAGAAATAAGATATAAGAATAAAATAAGATAAGGATTAAAGTATATACAGTCTAATGTATTTACAATTTATGATACTCCTATCTGTACAGGCAGGGAGAGCATTAATCAGAGAAACAGCCAAAAGGCCCATGGTAACTCTGGAGGAGCTGCAGAGATCCACACCTCAGATGGAGGACTCTGTTGACAGGAAGACTGTTAACTGAACGCTTCAGAAAGGAGCAGGGGACAGAAGAAAAACACATCAATTCCCCTTTAAAATCTGCCAAAAGCCCCATAAGGGACACAGCGAACATATGGAGGGAGGAAGCTGCTCAGATGACACCAAATACCCACAGAAAAGCTACGCGGGTAGAAAACTACCAACACCCTGAACACATGAAGAAGGAAACACTCTGAGTTGATGTGAAGGTAAAAACATAATTACATACCAGGATTTTATTCTTACAAAATATTACTAAGAAAAATGTGTTATTCATTTATTTTTGATACCATGTATTATATCATTCATTCCACTTCAGAGTTATGCCCTGTTTGTGTTGGCCTACAACATCAAATCCCCAAAATCCCCAGGTTCCTGGGGAAATGCTCGAAATTAGATTTTACCTTTCTCCTTGGAGCTCATGTTGGCCAGTCTGTCCTCGTAACGTTCAGTGTCACCATTAACTGTTTTATAGGCCTGTGAAGTAGAGAAACATGACATCAGTATAGAACACATGTTAAACTAGGACTTGTCCCCATCACACTTAGGCTGACGTTGACCAAGGATGCAGACGCTCTCTGTTCTTTGGGTAAACAGAGCTGTTCTGTTCATGTGTATGACTGACGCTTCTCTGAGCAGAAAACAATGTGTGTTTGTGCTCCTGTGTGTGAAGCTGAGATAAGGCCTGGAGTCCAGCTTGGGTTCTTCTTGTATTTCAACTGGTTCCAGTTGAAACCAGAAAAAAATATAAAGTTAACTGAAATACATTGATTATAATGGATCTTATAGGAACACTGACATTACCTTCTGTAAGGAGCCGATAATGCCTCTGATTTGGTGCATTTTGGTGGTGTTGTTTTTTGTAATTATTACTCAAAAGGAAAGAATAGAATAAAATAGAATAGAATAGAATAGAATAGGAAAGGAAATGATTATAATCATTTATTTGCAGCTTTCTCATTGGTGTAGATGTTGATTAGAATAAAATAGAGGTGATATCAACAAAGGAAAATAAAAATAGCTAAGTGAGCTGAAACTTTTATAAGGACAAAAATAAACAACAAGCACATAGAGAACAGGATAAGCTGACTGTTTATTAATAAAATTAGGAAAACAAAATGGCTTCACAGATGTGGATCTCAGTGTGAGGTTGAGGGAAAGGAAGTTATTGGTGTTGGTTTGTATTGGTGGTGATGTATTTTGTGGGACATCAGAGGAGACATTTAAGTTAAATAATGGGATAAAGAATACTGAAAAGTGGTAATGCCAAAAAAAAAAATTTTTTTTAAGAAATTTCTTGTGAGAAATGGTTCTCTTGTTACAGCAACTGCAGTTTGTTACTTAAACTGCAATTATGTTGATATAAAATTTTCTTAAAAGAAAAAAAAAAAAAAAAAAAAATCTAACCTGAAAAAGAAATGCATGCAAAATAATATCAATATCCTTCTCGATCATATGTTCGGAAACTTCTATGTATAAACCTTCAGCTCTCTCCACAGATTGTCTATCAGTCTCTAGCTAGGCTGTTTTAATCAAACACTTTATCATTACTGCCATTCAGGAGAAACATATATTGGTAACATTTAAAAAGATTACTGTTTTTCCTACCAGAACTTAATACACTGCCTCTTTATATACAAATGCATCCATATTAATTAGAGCTTATGCCAGTCGCCTTTGGACTAATTAAGGGAGAAAGTCTTTGCCCGTCTAAAGACTGAAATTTCTGCCAATATTCTTTGCAGTTTAACTTTAAAAGTCAGATAGAATGAATACTGTGAACACCAATGAAGCCCAGCCACAGATTCTGGATTAACTTTGTATCTTAACATTAACTAAACCCCTGTGACACCCGAATCTGTTCTAATATAAACTAGTCCATTGAGGCTCTGTCTACGTAGAACTTCTGCTCTGGTCCAAGGCGAACCTTCCCTCCAGTCTAGGGTGTTTTGTATTCACTATCAGGTTTTCTTTAAACTGCATCAATCTCCATATCAACTCTGAGCAGGGTTGTTTTTCCAACAGGAAACTGTGACTGTTAGGATTCCAGGTTGTGTGGGTTGTTTTTTTGTTTTTCTTCTCTCCACCACCAGATGGTGCCCTGTTCTCGTTGGGCCTCCCTGCATACCTCGGGCTCGTTGGGTCTTTACCAGAGGAGTATTTGAGCAGCGGGCTGTCACTACCTCGACGCCAGAGTGTTTTTGCCAGTATTGGGTACTCTAGCCAAACTGAGATTAGCAGAATCGAACCTTAGCCTTGTCTCTCTGAGTCTAAACTTTCTTTGTTTTTGTTCTTTGGATGGAAGCCCTCCTGTATCACTGGATAAGCCTGGACCTTCTACCCCCCTGGAAGGATAAACTAAGTCACACTGAGCAAGTGGAAACCTCCACATGATCCGTTCAAGTCCACTTCTGGAAAACCATGTCACAGTCCGCTCCTTTAGTCCTTTGGGTCCAAAGTTAGTCTGCCTGTCCGCTCTCCAACGAGTTCATTCTTCTCTGGATTTAACCCCACAAACTGGATCCAAGGAATAACTAAGAGCCCCCCAAAACGTGAGTGCCTCTCAAGCAATATACAAGCCTCTGTCTTTTTTCCCACGGTCCCTGAACTGATCATTGTGATCTCCCCTTCAGAGTTTCTGGTTCCGGTTCACCAGTCTGCTGAGGTCCAACAGTATTACCCAGCAGAATATGACTCTCCATCTGTGTTTTGCTAACCCTCAATAAACCAGTTAACTTTTTCCCTTGGTGTCTGAGTGGTTCTCTGCATGTGGGTCAGATCTTTAAAGCCCATTATGACTGTAACCATACAGCTTCATCGCAGAGAACAATGTATTCAGGAGCAAGCAAACCAGAAGGTACAAGTTATATTTTATATCGGTCTAGAACAAAAAATAAATCCCAAAAAAACACATTAAGGTTTGCAGCTTTAAAGTGACTAAATGTTTGCAACGTCATCCTTCTGCAAACTAGAACTTGGTTCAAAGTTAATAAGAGTAACACTTTCTTTAACAAATCAGATCTTTACATGAGTACTTTTGAGATTTGCAAGCTGAGGTGACACTTTGGTAATTCTACATTTTTGCTGTGCAACGGGTTTTCAGAATGAATAAGATTTGCAATGCTCACATAGACAACCGCTGCAGTAAGACCTCCTCCACACAAAACAACGTATGCCATGTTGCTGGAGCCTCCAGGAACGCCAAAGGCCATGTGTCGCAATGGAGGAGCTGGGAAACACAAACAATTTACAGCATTAATTGGAAGTGTGGAAAAAGATAATGCTAATATGGTAGTTTCTCTAACAATAAAAATCTATTAGATTCATACACACACACAGTATTCTTTTAAAGTATTATTCTCCTAATAAACTTTATAAAACATGGAACTATATCAAATCTGCTGCTACATATAGGGATGGCAATGAAAAAAAGTCTCCCTTCAGTAAGCCGTCGCTCCATCATTGTAACAGCAGGCCTCCACACTTTAATCCAGTTACACAACATAGCTCTTTGTAACTGAGGACACGGAAAGATTTAGCAGAGGCCAAGCTAAACACAGAACTGTCCCTTAGTTCAACCCCAACACCAAACAGAAAAACACTTCCTGTCTGATGCATCAAAACAAACAACTTCATTGCTATCCAGTGGGTTTGGACTCATAGGAAAGCTCACTAGGGGATCAGTGTAGACCCTTTGAACAGATTGTTCTTGTCCTTTTTGAGGTTTTGAACATGAATATTGAAGGTTGTCAAAGCCCTGAATACAAACTCTCACAGACATCTACCAGAGCCTCAACTCTGACTATGTAAAAGCGTGTCAGTGGACACAGTCGCTGCAAAGGGTGATGTTCTTGCAGAACCAGCACATGTTTGTAATAATGGACTTTGAATGTGACTCATATATCAGGTCAGCTTTACATGTTCAATCCTCAATGTGCACCACCTTCAAGCTCCATTTCCTGGATTAGGGTTAGTTGTTTTTTTATCAGTAGAAATCCACTGTAGCCTTAGCCCCTCTGACCAGCCTCATCCTCTGGAACCAACTGATCTGGAGTTATAAAAAATAAAGACCCCATGAGATAATAAGAGCAAAAATCCTGAATTATCCCATATGACAAACATCAGCCTTTTCCAAATCAGGTAACATAGGGTTCACTTTCATAGCAACGCTGGTTTAACTCCATTCTATCTTGATGGGAAAACTCAGGTTTAAGTTCAAGTAAAGACATTAAAAATCTCAAAGACCCAGGAATAATCAGCGCTCAGATCAAGTCCTAATTACTAAGAATTTAATCTTTCCTTAAAGGAGTTATTGCAAAGTTTAGCAGCAAATATGCTTAGGAGGACCTTTAGGAGAGCTCATAACACACTGATTTGAACATCTCGGGCAACCAGCACTTCTTAGAACTGTTGGCTTTACCCTAAGGTCTTTTGTTGGTGCCTAAATAATAATAAATTTTAAAAAAACACAAAGAAACCAAATACAATGGGTGTCATTCCTTTTTTGTGTCTCTCGCCTTGGAAACAACCTTCCAGTAGACTTAAGAAACAGCTAAGACAGCTTTAGTACTTTCTTTTTAGCCTGATTTCACTTCTATCTGATTCCCAAGTGCAGATTGTTTTCCATTTCCTTTAACATAGTTTGAAAATAAGCTTTTTATCAATAAGAAACTTATCAATCTAGCTATTAGTAGAGATGCAGCGATCCAGTTTTTTTCCCATCTGATACCTGGGGTGAGTTATCGGCCCATATCCGATACAGATTCGATCTGACTGTTACATGAATGAACCGTATACCTTGCTATCAATGAAGGCTTTAGACTTGACATAAACATTTAGAATAAAAAAAGGCAACAAATGAACACAGATATGAATGTACTTTATAATATTTATTATCAAATAAGGTGTCCATGTAAAGTGCACTGAATTGGATCTCCAATATTAGATATCCAATCACTGATATCCAATCACTGATTCGGATCGGAAGATATATGGGTGTTACATCTGTGGAAGCAATAAAGTTAGAATGAAATAATGACATTTCATGGATGACATATGATGTTCTTGAACATTGTCAGGATGTGTACATCTATAGATGATCTTCAAATCAATGATCTGTTATCCCCGCAACATGAACAGAGCAAAAGATTCAAGACCTGAAGATTAAAGATGTTTTCATTTTGGCCCCACTCTTAAGTCATTGATAAAATAGGCAAGCTGTAATGGTTTTTGTCCCGTTGCTCATCTTGTTAACATGTTCCAAATTAAGGCTGATTTCTCAACAGCAGATTTCTTTTACATTTATAAAGCTGCACAAAAATTTTGACAGTTGTTTTAGGGTCTGAAATGAGTCCTGCCCTGTTGTGGATGCGTGTGTCGCCGTCTGTCCTTCCTCCTGCTCTAATACCCATGACACAGCAGCCCTGTGTGCAGGTTATTTATACAGGTAATCAGTTAATCCCTATGGATTCCTCAAGTTCACGCTACA